TCTGATCTTGCGGTGGGCTCCGCGCACGTGTCCCGGGCCGGGCCGAGCCTCGGGGACCGTTGTGACATTCACATCCTCGTCCCCTCCGTGGCACCGCCGCAGCAGCAGCGCCGTGTGCTGCCCCATCCCAATCCCGGCGGAATTCCCGCATCCAAAGGGTTCCCCGGCCCTGCTGGGTGATGGGAACAGCGAAAAATCGCCCCCGTCAATGCGTTTAACCCTTTCCATCCTCGCCTGGCATCGCCTCTGCCCCTGGGCTGGTTCCACCGCGCCAGGGAGTCCCCAAAGTGACATTGAACACCCCTCAAGTGACGATTTTGGGGTTTTTTTTTGGGGAGACATGAACGGGCTCCTTGCTCCCAGCTCCCTTTTCCCCCCTCCTGTTTCTTATCCTCCCTGTCGGGAATTTCTCCCGGTTCTCCCCAAAACTCAAGCCCGGCTTTTCCCGCTGGAATTTTGGCTGCAATTAGCTGGTATTTAAATCCTCGCTAACCCCTAACACCCTAATGACAGCCCTAATGATGCTCCGCACATCCCGCAGCTAAAGATTACACTCGCTAATTAATTAAACCCCGACCCCCCCCTCGGTTCTCCCGCTTCCCTCTGTGCCGGGAGAAGAAATCGCTGAGAGTCTCTTCAGAAAAAGGACATAAAGGCAGGGAAATGCAGCACCAAAACAAGACAAATGGGGATTTGGAGACAATCCGGGCCGCGTCCATGTGACCCGAGCAGTGGACGAGGCAGGAGAAAGGAGAAAAATGCCAAGAGCGGAGCGGCCAGGAGAGAAAAAAACAACAACACAAAATAGCCCAAATAAAATCCCCCCAAAAAAACCAAAGAGCCAGCTTAAAAAAAAAAAAAAAAAAAAAAAAAAGGACAACAACAAAAAAACAACCCAAAAACCGGGGGAAAGAAAAGCACCAAGATGAAGGGAGTGACAAAGCATCAAAGGGAAGAGAAACCAAAGGCGTCGGAACAAAGGACGAGCTGGAACAAAGCCCCAAAGAGGGGGGAACAAAAGCATTAAACAGAAAACAAAGGCGGGGGGACAAGAAAAGCCCCTCGGTGGGGCTGGGTGGCAGCGGGACCCCGGCGGGGCCGGGCTGGCCGAGGGTGACAGCCCTGCGACACTTCGGTGTCGCCTTTGAAGCGGCAGCGCCGGGCTCGGGGCCCGGGGGAGGTCGGGGCGCAGCTCGGCCCCGCTGCCCCTGTGTGGTCCGGTTGTCCCCTGTGTCCCTCCCGCTGTCCCTGTGTCCCTCCCGCTGTCCCTCTGTCCCTCCGCTGCCCCGCGGCCTGGGCACGGCCGGGACGCGGTGGGGACAGTGCCAGGCTGGCTGTGTCACCTCCCCCCGCGGTGCCAGGGACACGGGGGGACAATCCGGACCGCCCGGGTGAAAAGCAGGGTGGGAACTGAGTGCCAGAGGGATCCCTGGTGGCAGCGGGATGGCCCCGGCAGGGCTGGCACAAAGTGTGTCACACGTGGGGACACAACGCTGGGGACCTCCAGGAGTGGGGTGAGCCTGGAGTCCGGCCCGGATTGGGGCTCTGGGAGGTGGAAGCTAGATTTTGGGGGCTGAAAGATGGATTTTGGGGTGCTTGAAGGTGAATTTGGGGTGCTGGAGGATGGGATTCGGGTGCTGGAAGGTGAATTTAGGGTGCTGAGTTTTGCTGTCCCGGGTTTGCTGTCCCGGCTCTGTCCCGGCTCTATCCCAGCTCTGTCCCGGTTCTGTCCCGGTTGTGTCCCTGCTCTATCCCTGCTCTGTCCCGGCTCTGTCCTGGGTTTGCTGTCCCAGCTCTGTCCTGGGTTTGCTGTCCCGGTTCTATCCCAGCTCTGTCCCGGCTCTGTCCCGGCTCTGTCCCAGCTCTGTCCTGGGTTTGCTGTCCCGGCTCTGTCCCGGTTCTGTCCCTGCTCTGTCCCGGTTCTGTCCCGGCTCTGTCCCGGCTCTATCCCTGCTCTGTCCCGGTTCTGTCCCGGCTCTGTCCCGGCTCTGTCCTGGGTTTGCTGTCCCGGTTGTGTCCCTGCTCTGTCCCGGTTGTGTCCCAGCTCTGTCCCGGTTCTGTCCCGGCTCTGTCCCGGCTCTATCCCTGCTCTGTCCTGGCTCTGTCCCGGTTCTGTCCCGGCTCTGTCCCGGTTCTGTCCCGGCTCTATCCCTGCTCTGTCCCGGCTCTATCCCTGCTCTGTCCCGGTTCTGTCCCAGTTCTGTCCCGGCTCTGTCCTGGGTTTGCTGTCCCGGTTCTGTCCCGGCCTGTCCCGGGCCGGCCCCTGCCCGGAGCCCTCCCGTGACCCATTCCCCGGGCCGGGGGCTCGGGCCAGCCCCGGTCTGGCCCCGGTCTGGCCCCGGTCTGGCCCCGCGGGCCCGGGGCAGGGCCTGGGCTGGGTAAAAGGAATCCGAGCTCCGGCCGAGCCGTTCCCCGGCCCCTCCAGCATTGTCCCGATCCTGGCCCGGGACAGCCGCGGGGAGCCGAGCCCGGCTGCGGCCTGGGGGGAGCAGGAGCGGAGCGGGTCCCCCGTGACCCCTCTGACAGGACAGGGACAGCGGCTGTGCCCTTGTCCCCACCCTGGCACCTCATGCCTGCGCTCCTGGGGGTGGCCAGGAGATCCTGGGGGTGTCCAGGAGGTCCTGGGGATGTTCAGCCAGTCCTGGGGGTGTCAAGTGGGTCCTGGAAATGCCCAGGAGGTCCTGGAAGTGTCCAGAAAGTCCTGGAGATGTCCAGCAGATCCTGGGGATGTCCAGGAGGTCCTGAGGATGGCCAGCAGGTCCTGGGGATGGCCAGCAGGTCCTGGGGATGGCCAGCAGGTCCTGGGGGTGTCCAGGATGTCCTGGGGGTGTCCAGGAGGCCTTGAGGTGCCCAGGAGATCCTGGGGATGTTCAGCAAGTCCTGGGGGTGTCAAGCGGGTCCTGGGGATGCCCAGGAGGTCCTGGAAGTGTCCAGAAAGTCCTGGAGATGTCCAGCAGATCCTGAGGATGTCCAGGAGGTCCTGAGGATGGCCAGCAGGTCCTGGGGGTGTCCAGTAGGTTCTGGGGTATTCACCAAGTCCTGAGAGTGTCCAACAGGTCCTGGAGGTATCCAGAAAGTCCTGGAGATGTCCAACAGGTCTTGGGGATGTCCAGGAAGTCCTGGAGATACCCAGCAGGTCCTGGGAGTCTCCAGCAGGTCCTGGGGGTGTCCAGTAGGTTCTGGGCTGCCCAGCAAGTCCTGGGGGTGTTCAGCGAGTCCAGAGGATGTCCAGCGGTTCCTGGGGATGCCCAGGAAGTCATGGGAGTGTCCAGGAGGTCTTGGGGTGCCCAGGAGGTCCTGGGGATGTCCAGGAGGTCTTGGGGATGCCCAGCAAGTCCTGGGGATGTTCAGCAAGTCCTGGGGGTGTCAAGCGGGTCCTGGGGATGCCCAGGAGGTCCTGGAAGTGTCCAGAAAGTCCTGGAGATGTCCAGCAGATCCTGGGGACACCCAGAGGCTCCAGGAGGGCTGCTGGGGACAGGTCCCGCGGTGCGGGTGGCACTGGTGCGGGGAGGTTGGGGACGGCCACCAGCCCCGGGGCCACTGGGGCGGGCGAGGAAGGACAGGAAAGTGAAAGTCCGGCTGGGCTGTCCCCATGGCCACCACAACAAAGCTCCTGCTCCCTCTTTTCTGGCTCCGTCACCCCGTGTCCCTTTGGGAGTTGTGTCCCCAGTCTGGGAATTGTGTCCCCACTCTGGGAATTGTGTCCCCACTCTGGGAATTGTGTCCCCACTTTGGGAATTGTGTCCCAAGTTTGGGAATTGTGTCCCCAGTCTGGGAATTGTGTCCCCACTTTGGGAATTGTGTCCCCAGTTTGGGAATTGTGTCCCTAGTTTGGGAATTGTGTCCCCAGTCTGGGAATTGTGTCCCCAGTCTGGGAGTTGTGTCCCCAGTCTGGGAATTGTGTCCCTGTCCAGTTTGGGGACACTCGGGGACACTTGGGGACACTTGGGGACACAGGGGTGGCACCAGGACCAGCTGTCCCCTCCAGCTGGGAATGGGAATGTGGGAATGTTCCACGGGGTTTAACGGGAATGTTCCACTCAGCCCCTTTAGGGTTTGGGGTCTGTGGGGTTTTTAGAATCTGTGGGGTCTTTAGGGTCTGGAATCTGTGGTGTCTTTAGGGTTTGGGGTCTGTGGGGTTTTTAGGGTCTGTGGGGTCTTTAGGATTTGGAGTCTGTGGGGTTTTTAGAGTCTGTGGTGTCTTTAGGGTTTGGGGTCTCTGGGGTCTTTAGGTTTTTGGAGTCTGTGGGGTTTTTAGAATCTGTGGGGTCTTTAGGGTCTGGGGTCTGTGGTGTCTTTAGGATTTGGGGTCTGGGGGGTCTTCAGGGGTTTGGGGTTTGTGGGGTTTTTGGTCTATGGGGTCTTTAGAGTCTGTGGGGTCTTTAGGGATTTGGGGTCTGTGGGGTCTTTACGGTTTGGGGTCTGTGGGATCTTTAGGGTTTTGGGGTCTGTGGGGTTTTTAGGGTCTGTGGGGTCTTTAGGGTCTGGGATCTGTGGTGTCTTTAGGGTTTGGGGTCTGTGGGATCTTTAGGGGTTTGGGATCTGTGGGGTTTTTAGGGTCTGTGGGGTTTTTAGGGTCTGGGGGGTTTTTAGGGTCTTTAGGGGTTTGGGGTCTGTGGGATCTTTAGGGGTTTGGGGTCTGTGGGTGCAGCCCACTTCCCCTATTCCCTGAGAAATCCTCGGGGTGAAGGTGGGAAATGATCCCAGGTCACCGCTCTGCTCTTTCCCGTGGGATGGGGACAAGGAGAGGGCGGGAAAACCCCCAAATCCCCCAAATCCCCCAAATCCCGGCAACTCCGTCTCTTCTCTTCTGCCCTTGGGTAAAAAACAAACAAACAAACAAAAAACAACCAAACAAAAAACAACAAACCAAACCAACAACAACAACAACAACAACAACAACAACAACAAATTAAAAAAAACAAAAAAAACCCAAGAAACCAAAAAATCACTTGGAAAAAAAAAAAAAAAAGAAAAGAAAGAAAGGAAAAAGGAAAAAAAAATAGAAATTCCCAGGGAAGAAAATAACGGTGTGGGGGAGGAAGGAGCCCGGAGTCAATGGGAACTTTCCCGGCTGCTGAAACATAAACAGCCCTTCCGTGTTGACACAACATTTTAAAGGTTTCACGGCAGGAAAAATAAAAAAAAAAAAGCTCTTTGTCAACAGCGGCCCGAGGCAGCCCCGCTGCCCTGGAAGGGATTTTATCCCCGGGGGGAGGAGGGTGATGGAATTTGGAATTCCCGGGAGCTGCTGGATTTGGGGTTTGGGGAAATCCTGAGGGGTCCCCGCTAGGAAAAACCTCGTGGGCTCAACAGAGTTCCCGTTTTTCCGTGCCCAAAGGTGTGGGAATGGTGTCCGTGTGTCCGTCTGGCCGAGTTGTTCCCCTTGTTCCGTGCCAGCCTTGCCATGGCACACAAAAGGAGGTGGGTGCAACAAATTTTAAAAAAAAAGTGTTTAGCAGTGCTTAATCCTTGAGTGTTTTCAAAGAATGATTCCGTGGCTTCCCTTGAAATTATGACTTAATTATGAAATAAATCATTGGAAAAGGGAAAACCTTTTTGGGATTCCCAGCAGGCAAAGGTTGAACCTGGAGATGTTTTTTGAGGGGGTTGTAATCAACAAAAACCCCTTTGAAAATCCCAAAGCTGAGAGAGTTTGGGATCTCCGAGAGGCTCCGGGGGAGGCGAGCTCGGAGCGCTTCACCTTTGGGGTGTTTATAGGGCCGGGGGATGATTGATTTGGGCCATCGGGAAGTTTCCACGCTGGCCACGAGCCAAGCTGGCGAGAACAGGAGTGGGAAGAATTCCCACAATGGAGCGTTCCACTCGGGCTGAGACTCACAATGGCAGCGGGCTGAGCTCCAGGGAAAGCCGTGCCAGGGCTGCGGGCACCGCGCTGCCCCTTCTGGTGCCCACCTGGCCTCGCCCAGGTGAGTTTTCCTTTCCTCCTGCCTCTGCCCTCCCTGCCGCTCCTTGCCCGGGGATCCTCGGGAATTTCTGGAATTGGATGCTCGGGATTTTCCAGGGGAAATTGAGGTGGGGGATGAAGCAGCGCCGTGAAGGAGCAAAACTTGGGGTGATGCGGGAAGTTGGGAGTCAGATTTTGGGGTTGGCGCGTTGGGATCCCCAAAATCCAGGCACGGCTCAACCCCCAGCTGGGAGCGAGGGGGTCCGGTGGGTCTCTAAGGTGCGGGGGGGTCTCAGGGTGTCCCCCCAGACCCCTCCGAGTGCTGCCCCAGCTTTTGGGGGGTCTCGGTCTCTCCGCGGAGCGCCGGGGCGCAGCGTGGAGCTGTCACACGTGGGTGCCCGGTGGGCAGGGGGGCACCGAGGGGAGGGGACGGGGCTCGGGGCCGCCCCGGAGCCGGCTGCTGGCTGGCTGCAGCGTGTCCCTGCTCCTCCTCCTCCTCCTCCTCCTCCTCCTCCTCCTCCTCCTCCTCCTCCTCCTCCTCCTCCTCCTCCTCCTCGCTCCCTCTCTCCGCCCGGCGCCGGGGCAGCTCCCAGCGGAGGCGTTGGGGACATGGAGCGGACCTGAGGCGGTGGCGGAGCCCGCAGCGGCACCGGGGAGGGACCGGCACCGGCACCGGGGAGGGATCGGCACCGGCAGCACCGGCGGCGGCGGCACCGGGGGCTCAGCGCAGCGGAGCTGTGAGTGCGGCCGGGGGGCACCGAGATGGACCGGGGGGCACCGACACAGCCCCGGGGGCACCGACACAGCCCCGGGGGCACCGAGACAGACCTGGGGGGCACAAACACAGTCCCGGGGCCACCGAGACATCCTCGGGGGGCACCGACACAGCCCCGGGGGCACCGAGACAGACCCGGGGGGCACAAACACAGTCCCGGGGGCACCGAAACAGCCCCGGGGGGCACCGAGACAACCCCGGGGGCACCGAGACCGCCCCGGGGCCACCGACACAGCCCCGGGGTGCCGAGCACCCTGCGGGCTCGGGGAGCACCCTCGGGGGTCGCGGCTGAGGGAACGGATCGGGAGAACCCCCCCGGAGCCCTTGGGATGGGGGAAGGGGAAAAGGGGTGCGGGGTCCCAAAGTTTGGGGGTGCGAACTCCGCCGCGAGCCCCACCGCCACGGCCCCGGGGAGCCCGGCAGGAGAAGGAAGGGTTAATTCCGGCAGGGGAAGGGTTAATTCCGGCAGGAGAATGAAGGGTTAATTCCGGCTCCGGGGTCTGCGCGTCCCCCTGTGATATGGGGACAGGGAGAGAGGGGGACACGGGGACAGGGGGACACAGGGACAGGGGGACACGGGGACAGGGGGACAGGGGGACAGGAGGAGAGGGGGACACGGGGACAGCAGGACAGGGGGACAAGAGGAGAGGGGGACAGGGGGGACAGGGGGACACGGGGATATGGGGACAGGGGGACAGGAGGAGAGGGGGACATGGGGACAGCCAGACACGGGGACAGGAGGACACGGGGACCCCCCGTCGCGGTCCCCACGGTGTCAGGGACAGGCCACGCGCTGTGGTGACACGGACAGACCCGCGTGTGTTTTGGGGGGCTGGTGGCGGGGGGGACACGTCTCGGTGCGGGTTGGGGTCCCCGTCGTTGTCGCCACCTCTTGTCCCTCGTCCCCACGGACCAGGTGACACCTTGTGCATCCCGCCGGTGTCACGGGCCTGGCGACACCGATGGCTCCGGCCACCCCTGGCAGGGAAAAACGGTGTCACCCGCGGGTGGCGAGAGGCGCCAACACCGCCACGCTGTCGCGACAGAGCGCGGCGACAGCGCTGAACTCTGTCGCTTTGCTGTCACAAACTTTGTCACCGCCACGGCGACATCCCGGAGCCACCGGGCCGGGGCGGGGGGACCCCACAGCGGAGCCCCCCAGGCAGCGGGGATGCTCAAATTGGGGGAAATTTGGGGTTTTTTCACCCCTGAGGAGCGGAAAAAATCTCATTTTAGCGAGTTAAAATCGGCAAAGTTCTGCGGCCGAGGGAAAGGCGGGAGCTGCGCGTCCTGAAGGGGAAGTTTTAGGGCGAAAAAGGAGAATAAACAGAATTTTTTTGGTGGTTTCCACCTCTGAGGAACGATTTGCAGGGAGGAATGATGCTGCCCGGTGCTGGAGGCTCGTGGAGCATCTCAGGCTTGGAAAAATCCCCCCTAAAAAATAAAAACAAAACCGGGAGTGATGGATTTGAGGAGTGAAAAAAGGAGAATTTGCTGGGTTAATGGGATTTTTCCGATAACTCCATCCCTCCCCTCTGGAGCCGATAACTCCTGTTTGTAATTCCTGCAATTTCCTCTCTCCCTTCAATTTCGTTTGCTGCAGGATCCGCTGACACCAATACGGCACTTTTTTCTCTTTTTATTTATTATTTTTTATTTTTAAATTTTTTTTTCCTCTTTTTCTTTCCAAAACCCATCGATTTTCGGCAGTTTTTATGGAGTTAAAACCAGCAGCCGACTTTTTCTTGACACCTTTTCACCATCATCATCATCACATTTGCGTCCCTCCCACGTCCGCGGTGCAAAAATCCCAATTTTTAATTAATTTTTTTTTTTAAAATCCCATTTTTTCCTCTCTTGGTAAAGCTCATCTCCCCCGTTGCTTTTTTTACCTCCACCCCAACCCTCCCTTCTCCCTAAATCCGAGTTTTAGCCCAGCCTGGAGATGTCCTGAGGGGAATTTCTGGACTTTTTGTCTCCCTGCCGAAATGTCCATTATTCCTGGGGGGGATCTGTGCTCGTAAATTTGTTATGTGCTCCGGGGGTTTAAATTTCATTTCTGGGTTGGTGTCCCTGCCAAGGGAACACGGAAAAGCTGCTCCGGCACCGGGATTATTTTTAATTTTGGGGTTTGCTGGGGTCCTTGGGAAGGGGAGCAGTTAAAACCAATTTTTCTATGGGATTATTTTTAATTTTTGGGGTTTTCTGGAGCGTCTAGGAATGGGAGCACATTAAAACCAAATTTTCAATGGGATTATTTTTAATTTTGGGGTTTTCTGGCACCCCTGGGAAGGGGAGAACATTGAAACCAAATTTTCAGTGGGATTATTTTTAATTTTGGGGTTTTCTGGCATCCCTGAGAAGGGGAGAACATTGAAACCAAATTTTCAGTGGGATTATTTTGAATTTGGGTTTTTTCTGGGGTGCCTAGGAATGGGAGCACAGTAAATCTGCTCTGGCACTGGGATTATTTTTAATTTTGGGGTTTGCTGGCAGCCCTGGGAAGGGGAACACTTTAAAACCAATTTTTCAGTGGGATTATTTTTAATTTTGGGGTTTTCTGGGATCCCCAAAAAGGGGAGCATTTAAAATCTGCTCTGAGCCCCCCAAGTGAGGTTTTGGGGGGTCCAAACCCCCCAAAAAAGGGTGAGGGGTCTGTCCCTGCTGGGGCTGGGGCTGGCTGGAGCGTGTGGGGACAGAGAATTCCCGGGATTTGGGGCACAGGGATTGGGAATTTCCTGGTGGGGATGTGGGGTGGGAGAGGGAATCCCGGGGGGATGGAGGTGGAGGGAATCTTTGGGGTACAGGGGAAGGGAATGTTTGGGATGGAAGTGATGGGAATTTTTAGGGTACAGGGGAAGGGAATCTTTGGGATGCATGTGATGGGAATTTTTGGGATGCAGGTGACAGAAATCTTTGGGATGCAGGTCATGGGAATCTCTGGGATGCAGGTGACAGGAATCTTTGGGATGCAGGTGATGGGAATTTTTGGGATGCAGGTGACAGAAATCTTTGGGATGGTGGTGATGGGAATCTTTGGGGTACAGCTGATGGGAATTTTTGGGATGCAGGTGACAGAAATCTTTGGGATGGAGGTAATGGGAATCTTTGGGATACACGTGACAGGAATTTTTGGGGTACAGGTGTCAGGAATCTTTGGGATGCAGGTGATGGGAATCTTTGGAATTGAAGTGATGTGAATGTTTGGGATGGAGATGATGGGAATTTTTAGGGTACAGGGGAAGGGAATCTTTGGGATGGAGGTGATGGGAATCTTTGAGATATAGGGGAAGGGAATCATTGGGATGCAGGGGAATGGAATATTTGGGGTACAGCTGATGGGAATTTTTGGGATGGAGGTGGAGGGAATCTTTGGGATGGAGGTGGAGGGAATCTTTGGGATGCAGGGGAAGGGAATCTTTGCAATACAGGTGGTGGGAATTTTTGGGGTACAGGGGAATGGAATCTTTGGGATGGAGGTGATGGGAATCTTTGGGATATAGGGGAAGGGAATCTTTGGGATGCATGTGATGGGAATTTTTGGGATGCAGGTGACAGAAATCTTTGGGATGGAGGTGGAGGGAATCTTTGGGGTCCAGCTGATGGGAATTTTTGGAATGGAGATGATGGGAATCTTTGGGGTACAAGTGACAGGAATTTTTGGGATACACGTGTCAGGAATCTTTGGGATGCAGGTGATGGGAATCTTTGGAATGGAAGTGATGTGAATTTTTGGGATGGAGATGATGGGAATTTTTAGGGTACAGGGGAAGGGAATCTTTGGGATGGAGGTGATGGGAATCTTTGGGGTACAGCTGATGGGAATTTTTGGGATGGAGGTGGAGGGAATCTTTGGGATACAGAGGAAGTGAATCTTTGGGGTACAGGGAAAGGGAATCTTTGGGGTACTGCTGATGGGAATCTTTGGGATGCAGGTGACAGAAATCTTTGGGATGGTGGTGATGGGAATTTTGGGATGCAGAAGGGAATCTTTGGGACATAGGTGGGAATAGAGGGAATCGTTGGGATGCAGGTGATGGAAATCTCTGGGATGCACTGGGATGTGTGGAGAGAATTTCTGGGATAAAGGTGGCAGGGATTTCTGGGATAAAGGTGACAGGGATCTCTGGGATGAAGGTGACAAAAATCTCTGGGATAAAGGTGACAAAAATCTCTGGGATGAAGGTGACAGGAATCTCTGGGATGAAGGTGACAAAAATCTCTGGGATGAAGGTGACAGGAATCTCTGGGATAAAGGTGACAGTGACAGGGATCTCTGGGATGAAGGTGACAGTGACAGGTATCTCTGGGGTGAAGGTGACAGGGATCTCTGGGGTGAAGGTGACAGGAATCTCTGGGATGAAGGTGACAGGAATCTCTGGGATAAAGGTGACAGGAATCTCTGGGATGAAGGTGGCAGGGATCTCTGGGATGAAGGTGACAGGGATCTCTGGGATGAAGGTGAAAAGGATCTCTGGGATGAAGGTGACAAAAATCTCTGGGATAAAGGTGACAAAAATCTCTGGGATGAAGCTTTTTCCCTCTGCAAACATTCCCGGCTGCTGCGGGCTCTGTGTCTGCACGTGGGATGGAAAAATCCCAAAAAAATCTCCCAAAAACTCTTCCAAAACAGCTCTGACCATACAGGGACCACCTTGAAGACCCTCCGGGGCAGCGCCGCTCCTGCTGTCCCACCCTGAACCTTCCCGGCCGTGCTGGGGAAACCCCCGCCGCTCATTTTCCTTCAAAATTCCGATTTTTTGGAGCAAACCCATCCCCTCCCGGCGGGGCAGCGCCTGCCCCGAGCCCGCGGGGCCCCGCAGGAGCCGCTGCCCTCTTTTGTTCTCGGCTCCGGGGTGGGAAATTCCCGCTGCTCGCAGTCCCGGGGGTCTCAGGGATGAGAATGGAAAAGAGTTTTGGGGTCGTGGAGCCCCAAAAATTCCGGCACGGGCACGGCCTGAA